CTCGCGCATTGCTTTTCAGTGTCCTTGTCACTGGCAACAACAATCAGCCATATCGGCGAGAGCAAGAGATGCCTCGTTGAAGGCGAAGACGTATCGAAGTCCGATCATGTGATAGAGTGCAGCGTCGCCCCGGAGCCGACGGCTGACAGCGTCCGCATCGTCGGATACGTCCTCCAGTCCTGCGCTCTGCACAGCGATCCGCATACGGTGCATCTCACTCTGAACAAAGGGGAGATTGTCTCTCTGTGCTGCACGTGCCCTGCAGGGCAAGAATGCACGTTTACACTGCGTTGTTTTTTAACGGGGGGGGGGGGGGGGGGGTTTAGGCGATAAACCACGTTTTATTAGACGTCAGTTCCTTCATCGTTCTCTTAATCTGCAAGGTAGCTTTGTTATGAAATGTTGCACTGCCTAGGCATTCCGTAGTTAAGAACTGATTTAAGTGAGGAAATCTACGAGGTGTTGTAGAAGTGGTGTAGAATGCAAGAGATATAACAGATGTGTGTTTGTGCTGCCCCCAGAAAGTCAAGCGAATGCAAGCACTGCACTGCTGTCTGCTGAAAACCAACAGGATGCAAGAGCTTCCAGTTGTCAAGCACAGACTTGCCGCAGGCTTGGGGCCAGCATGCGAAGGATGTCGCCAGGACCAAGTATGCAGTGAGGTCTCTCATGGAGATCCCCTTCTGCCCAAAGGTGAGTGCTGTGCACAACGAATATGTGCATTTTTTTTTTTTTGAAGTCCCGCTATCTTGAAATGCCAGTGCAGATTTATAACATCTGTACTCTGCATGTAGGTAGATATAATGCTTGTTTAAAAATAATGGTAGCCTTCAATAGTGTATGCAGGCTTTTATAACAAGTGCATTGCTGGTCGGATTGACGGCGCATGATCGCCGTGCAGAGTTCAGTTACGTTTAGCTTGGGGCCAGAATGCGCCCAGCCAGCTGGCGACAGCCTGGACTGGCACTTGGAAAGTACGCCTGAAACTAGAACTTGGCTGCCATGTTAAGGAATATGCAAACAGCTGGAGCAAGCTGCTGAAGTTCCTGGAAAATGCTCGAGTAGCTGGAGACAAGTCGCTCACAACAAAAGGGACCTCCAACCATACTAAAGGCAGAAAAATGGCCCTGCAGATCGCTTCCCGATACTCCATTGTCCACCTTTATTGCAAGCCTGTCTCGGACAACATCAGGGCTAGACAAAGGCAACAATGCCAGTCCGACGCCGAATAATGAACCAGGCAGCTACCCTGACCGTTATTCCAGCCAGGGTGGTTGTGTCCAAGCCGCATTTAAGTTGAGAGTAGAATGTGGGGTGCGGTTGCTCAGAGACGCCTCTAGGTACCCTAACCAAACAAAGACCCCTTTGGACACCATTGACTTGTCTCCAGAAATACTGGTGAGCAACTTCCGTTGTCTTGGAAGCCGGTGCCCAGTTCTGGTATGGGCCTCTCTCCAAGAGCCTTGTCCTGGCTGCTGGTCTCTCAGTGTTCCATACAGACAAATCACAGATAGCCAGGCGCATTAGGGTATTAGTGGATAGTGTGTTTTAAATATTTTCGTGCCAATTATGTTTAGACTGGTTTAAATTTTTGTGATGAGCTTCAACTGCGGTGAACGTAGCGAAACATAGCAAAAAAGTTTCTTGAAATGTGCATTGCTTGGAAACAAATTGTTCGGCGTAATGAAATTTACTAAACCAAGCAAACAGGATCCCTTCCTGATGAAAGATGCCAGCTTGGCGTGGCCAATTGGTGGTAGAAAAGTGGCTGGCCAGTTGGCTACATGTTTACCCTTAAACTGTGGCCGCAAGCGGCTGTCGTCTGCTAGCCACTGCGCCCTGCGCCTCTACAGTCTATTCCGCTGCTGAGTGGCAGTCATGGCGACAAAGCGTTGCCATTGCTTTTTTTTTTGTTTTTAAAAGAGATTTCCTACATCTCTGACCAATCGCAATCGTTGATGCCATCAGCTATATGAGTTTAACATTAACCTAGATAAGGGGTGTTTGTGGCTCATGGAAATTAAAACATGATGCTCTAAGATTTGGTGAATTACTAATTGTTCTCTGGATCTCAAGAGTCACGAAGGTGAACAACACATTTAATTAAATGTACCTGCAAACTATTACATTTCAAGCGACCTGCCTTGCCAGCCGTCGAGCGTGGTGTCGTGGACAGACTTATGGAAGGCCTTCCACACATCTGTCCTGTCGCTATTCACAAAAGGAGGAAAACACGAAAAGGTAAATCTCGATTTTTTTTGCAAAGACTTTTCTCCCAATCTCTTGTTTAAATATACCTAAACTCATTACAAGGTGCAGTCATGCCTTTTTCTATGGCGAAACTAGTAAAGTGCAATGCCATAACATGTGAAGGTTATCCCGGTTGTGATCTTGTGACTCTAGGCACTGTTCCACAATGGGGCTAAGGTAGGCCAGAGCCGTATATGTAGAGAGTTTGGTCAATGGGAGGCGCAGGCAGAGCCAGGGCGTGCGGCAGACTCGGAAAGAGGGCTTGCCATGCTCTCTTCACCAACCAGAAGCCGAAAAGAATCCCCTAGCGGTGATAGCGAGAAACAGTTCTGATCGAAAGTCTGTGTTCGTATATGGTTTTAATAAGTGCGTAAGAGTGAAGTGTAGTAACTCTTGGTGGTTGAAAATAGGCTCACGTGTTGTTTTGATCATGATTATCGAGAAAGATGTAAGAAACGAATGCGCCGCTCAACTCTGTTTTGCGCGGACAGTGTGTGACCGCTCAAACGGCAGATTCCCGGCCCTTGGCGTTTGACGTACGGATTATGTCGATCGTTCCGCTACTTGCACTCTTCCACCATCATTTTTGATGAGCGTGATTGGTACATCACGTGTTCCATATTTTCAGCCATCCAGAGTTACTCCAATGCAGTTATCAGGTTTGTTCCCGCGACCACCGCCAGGGTATTATTTCCAGCTTTTGGTTGGTCACATTCGAATTTCTGAAGACGCCCTGGAACACGCCCAGCCCGCTTTCGGCCAATGGCGCCTCCTCATTTGTCTCCTATACTTCCCAACGAATGGCCAAACTCTCTATATATACGGCTCTGAGGTAGGCTAATGCCCACCAGTATACTATTATAACTCCTGTGCCATAAGTTACGTCCCCTATTTCAGAGACAGGTGGAGCCAGCACTTCAGCAGCTGTGCCTCGACCCCGAAGCCTGCTTGAAGCGCTTCAGGACCTGCCTGAGGAGGAGACCGAAAACCTGCTGGAGCAACTCAAGCGCATAATGACACGAGAGGCTATTGCGGAAGTTGAGCGCGTGACAAGGGCACAGGCCTCATCATCTGATTGGATGCTGTACAGGAGGGGTATGGCCACTGCATCCATACGCCGCGGGTTCTTTACCCGCGCTGTCACTAAAGGCTCAACCACGGCCGCACAACTTGAGAGGTCTCCTTGACAAAGTGTTGCAAGTCAGCACATTTCAGTCAGCGTCAATGAAGAGGGGACAGCAGAAGGAGGGAACTGCGAAAGAGAAATACCTATCAAAGCTGGTGAAGGAAGGACATTGTCCTAGGATTGAGAACAGAGGGCTGATAATATGGGACCAAATGCCCATTATGGAGAGTTCGCCCGATGGGATCGTGGTGTTTGAGTGTGAATGTTGTCAGGGAAAGCGGGTGCTTCTGGAAGTCGAATGCCCAGAGGTCGTCTAGAATTCATTCTGTAAAAAAACTAGAGAGCCCCAGTCCGTCTACTACATGCAGATGCAGGTTTGCATGGGTATCACTGCACTCACAAGTTGCGACTTTTTTGCTTATGTTTCAGAAACAGACTACAAGCTAGTTGAAGTGAAGTATGATCATGCTCACTTCGAGGAATGTGTGCATGCTGTACGGTCAATATATGTGGACTATCTTTTCGCTGGGCTAAGGGGGGAATTTAACTAGCTTCCTTTTTTGTTTTTATCCAAGGTGCGCTGCAGTACTGTGCGCTATGGGAGCCGTGCAAAACGACTACTGTGCAGCCCTCTTGGGCAAATCAGGCATAGAAACAATGAGGCACAATTGAAATGAACTTCTTTATTTCTCATTTTTAGCACAGGTTTAGCATGGACATAGCTTCGCATCATAACTGACACGCCGTCATCAAGACTACCCATGCACCCATCAAGACTAGGCGCACTGATGTCAAGTGTATTTGTCGTGAGCAAATTCATAATAACTAGAGGCTTATTTTTTAACTATTTACTCATTTATTTAGCATACGTGCAATCTAGTTGAGATACTGTCCCATCATTTTCATCTCTTGATGACAGCGCGTAAATGACGTAAGGCCAAGCAAAAGCCTCCTGCAATATTCACTGCTGACTACCGCACCCAATATTGCAGCTACATGACATTGTTCCAAAGCGAGCAGTGCTCGCTCACAAAGGCACCGCCATGTTTCCCTGCTGCCCTTAATCTTCCAGTCACGTGACCTAAAATTTCCCCTCGTAAGGAAATGCGATTAAATTTTTACTGCGGTTAAAGTTAACCGGCTTTTAGAAAAATTTCATAAGCCTCGCACAAAACTGGTCTGAAGTTGCACTGATCCTATCCAGCATACCGAGTTTTCTGTTACACATTTTATAGACTAGCACCTTTTCCGCACAAAGCCTTCATCACATTGCGAGCACTTTTCCCGATGTTTGAACCCGCATAAATGATGATACAAGCCGCTAATACGCATATTTACTCTATTTACATGTGGCTTCCTTGCCAGCTACAGAAACTTATCTTCTGCAAAAATTGGCAGTGAAAGGTTTACGATACCTGCAAGGAGCTGCATTACACCGTCAAACAGGAAGCGGGTGCTTAGGAAAATGATGCTGCAGAATCTTGAACACGTTTAGTCGTTGAATGGCACGTTCCACGTGGACACGTGCAAGTGCGATGTCTTGGTTCCCGAGTGCGTCATGTTCAGTCATCTGTTGCTTGTTCCTCAGAAATGGAGGCTGCACAAGCTCAACAAGAGCCTCATCTCAAAGCTTGTCAATAAGGAAGCCCTTGTCGACCATTACCTGCTCGTACGGTGAGCATCTCTCCAGAACTCGATTCCTTTGTGATAAGAGAATGCGAAGTCCGTCCCCCAAAAGCACGGCTCACGAATGTAAACATGCCAGTTGGTGCGTACCCAATCAGCACTTTTAGGGTGTAGGTTTTCTTATAATGACTGTACATCAGTATCCTGGATGCAAGGTCAAGTGGTCGCTGGATGGGGATCTCAGTGCAGTCCAGAACAACTTTCGTGCGAGGAAACTTTTTAAAGTAAACTGTGAGGTTGTTCTCAATAGACTGGTCGCAGGGAACATACAGGGCTGACCCTAAAACCTTTCTCAGGACACAAAGGGACATCTTCACGTTCTCAGACGCCGTTATTCTATGTATCCTGAAAAGGAACGCTAGGAAACTGATAATGACATCATGATAGAGCTTCATCAATGTGATGAGCACAGTGTCACCTGAAGAAAGCAGGAAGCTCCTCGAAGAAAGCTTTGCTCGCACACTATCGAACTCTGTTACAATGTTTCTCATTAGTTGTAGGGATCCAACCCCAGTTAGTGAGGCAAGCTCGCTGTCACTTTTAGCTTTCGCCAAGCGAACGTGGGGCCCTAGCTTCGCCTGCAACATGCTGTCTACTTGAACGCAGGCATCCTGGGTAGGCAATTCCTTTTGGATGTTCGAAAGGGAGTCGTGGGGCCCTACAAAAAAAAGAATGTAACAGAAATTTACATTTTCAGCATTTCCTTACAGTGTGTGTGCAGTCATGACCCGCAGGATGTGAACGTCGGATCACCAACCACTCCGTACTGGCAGTGCCATGGAGCAGTGGCCATAGTGCCCTGCAGCTCAGTTCCAGAAGCGTCAAAAGGCGAACAAGCTACCATGGCCATCGCTTCATGAGGCTGCAGGTACGGAGTGATTGATGGTCTTATGTTCACCTTCATATGTACCATGACTGCAGCGAGGCTACACAAAATACAGCCGTGTCATATGGTGCCTGTAAGCAGCTTTTTGCGGCCCACAGTGCAACCAAAGTATTTGCCACTATCCCGGAAACTGTAGAATTTCTTTTTTTGGAAAGCTGAAACTGTCCCATGCTTCCCGTCCTCCTCTACCCCATCTGATTCCCCATATCGTCCCCGATCCGATAACTGCTCGGAGTACACTGACAGCACTCAGATGCTCAGGAATTTTCCACACGCCCTCGCACCTCACCATCACCTTGATGCCTTCCGTCCTAATTATCAGCCCTCCCTGTTCACCTCAGGAGAGGCTCGCCCCTCCCCCCCGGACGCCACTGATGCGGTACCATGGTGCTAGGCCCCCATGGCCGATATTCACCAAGCTTCTCCAGACGCCTAACACTTATTTTTTCACCTGGCTCTCGTGTAAGGGGCTCTTTATTTTAATAAAAATGTGTCCTCCTGCCCAAGTGTGAATCTTTCTGCTTGACCAACACTGCTTTTTCATCAAGTTCCGCCAAAATGTTATGACCCTAAAGGTGAAAACGGCAGAACACGCACAAAATGAATACAACAGCATAGGTGGCAACTATACCAAAACATAACTTCCATAAATGTTTCCAGTAATGGAAGACTGCTGGGTTAAGTGTTCAAATGCGCAAGGAGCATACTTCGAAGGAAATTTAGGAGTTGGACACCACAAGTATAACCAATCTTTTTTTCAGGCAGTCGCTGGAAATAAAATGTTTTGTAATGCCGAAATCACAATAAATTGCCATGCGGTGGTCACAAAACTTGCATTGTATTTCACTGTCACTGCAGTGACTGCTGGTCTCCGTGCAGTGCTTGTCACAGGTGAAAGTGGCCTCGCTGTACCCATCACAGGAAACGGTCTCGTCGCTCTCACCTAGTGTAATTTGAGAGTGATAGTTACAAAACTACTACACTATCTCAAACAAGGAATGTACCAGATAAAAATGCAGGTTGTTATTCTCAGATTCAACCCATTCAAATGGGCAAGGTGGCATTTAGCCTAGCTTTCCAACACTTCTGTATTACACAAGAACAGCCTCTGACATGCAAACAGACAGTAACTTGGCAAGCCCTCATTGAGTGTGAGGTGGTGACCTAGTAATAAACTCACAGTCTTGTTGCACATTCTCGAAAGCAGTCAGGAGGTGCTGTGTTGACGCTGCAGCACCAGGAGGCAAGCAGCTCGTGTTGGATGCTGCCCTGTTACCTGTGGAAGTTTCACCAAAACATCAACCGAAATAGTCATTACATTATGTTTTCCTTGAAATGCCAAAATACAGAACACGACGGCGAGCGTTATAATGTAGAATGCTGCTAATTAGACTGCGTATTGGCATTAAACGTACAAGTTGTCTTTGTCAGTTAAATTTATCGGTTATTCGAAGGAGCACGGTTCACAATGAAATATCAATGCGTTCTGCACGATGAGGTCTTAGTCATACGCTAACTTGCAAAGCTAGCCTGGAATAAAATAGAGATGAAATGATAGCAGTACCTCTCGGTGGCTTCCGAAGCCTCACGACACTGTCGTGTGATCCCTTCGGAAGATTCTCCGACGGAACGGCGTTGTTTTTCAAGAACCTCCTCTTGGGCCCTGTTATGAAAGTGGTTGTGCCGGCAGCCGGGCACAACACTCGGGAAAAGAACTGCCGAGAGTTTCGAAGGGCAATAATTATTGTAAAAAAAAAAAATAATCGCCAAACGTTAAAAAAAAAAAAGTTGGCTTTTTTGGGGATTTGAACCCGCGACCCAACACATATGACGCGGACAACTTTCCACTGAGCTACTCACGCACCTTCCAATGCACGCTTTGACTATTCCTTTTATGCGAAACCCAATGGCAACAACTACCGGCAGTTTTGTTGTTTTTCACCCGGTTAGTTCTGCCGGCTGCCGGAAGAATATCCACTACCTATGAAATACAATGTACGGTTTGAACGGATGTCGATGCAAGCGTGATTTACGCGCATACATACCTCGTCCAGTAGCGTAGTTTGCTTGGAAGGCATCGCGTGAGAAGTGGCGACCACACACCACGTCGTGCGCAGTCAACTTCTTCCCTCCACTGCGATTTCAGTTTCTTTTTCGGCAGGAAAGCGATGAAAGCTAACTCCAGACTTTAAAGCATGCTCTGAGCACTGCGGTACGCAACCCAGGCGTGTACCATATTCTAACAAACCCGCAGGGAACGCGGAAACAACACGGCAGCCAACGGCAGCACATTGGAATATCGGAGATGTGTTTGTTTTGGTGAACGCAGCGCCCCCTATAGTTCGATCTCCTCGCCAATTGACTACTTTGGCACTCTTGTGGCGGACCAGAGAAAAGCCAAACTTTGGCATGTCCAAAATACCCAAATTAGGCTTTGATCTGGCAGTTATGGCTCAGGTATCGCACTACTTCGGCACTTCTGTGGCAGACCAGAGAAAAGTAAAACTTTGGCCCGTCCCAAATACCGAAATTAGACGTTGCTCTGGCAGTTATGGCTGAAGTATGGCACCAAATTTGGCGCTCCTCTGGCGGACCAGAGAAACGCCAAACCTTGGCATGCCCCGAATTCCCAAATTAGGATTTACTATGGCAGATATGGCTGAAGTATGGCACCATCTTTGGCACTCCTCTGGCGTACCAGAGAAGAGCCAAACTTTGGCATGCCCTAGGATCGCCCAACTTAGGCTTTAGTTAGGCACCGTACTTTGGCACTGATGAGTGCCATGGTGCAAAAACCTAACTGATCCAAAGTTGGGCCCTTATGATTGCCAGACCTTTGCCCAAGTTGGGCATTCCTCTGACGTGCTACCTGGGGCAAACTTTGGCCCGTCCCAAATACCGAAATTAGGCGTTGCTCTGGCAGTTATGGCTGAAGTATGGCACTAAATTTGGCGCTCCTCTGGCGGACCAGAGAAACGCCAAACCTTGGCATGCCCCGAATTCCCAGATTAGGATTTACTATGGTAGGTATGGCTGAAGTATGGCACCAGCTTTGGCACTCCTCTGGCGTACCAGAGAAGAGCCAAACTTTGGCATGCCGCGCAAACTTTGGCCCGTCCCAAATACCGAAATTAGGCGTTGCTCTGGCAGTTATGGCTGAAGTATGGCACCAAATTTGGCGCTCCTCTGGCGGACCAGAGAAACGCCAAACCTTGGCATGCCCCGAATTCCCAGATTAGGATTTACTATGGCAGATATGGCTGAAGTATGGCACCAGCTTTGGCACTCCTCTGGCGTACCAGAGAAGAGCCAAACTTTGGCATGCCCTAGGATCGCCCAACTTTGGCAATAGTTAGGCACCGTACTTTGGCACTGATGAGTGCCATGGTGCAAAAACCTAACTGAGCCAAAGTTGGGCCCTTATGATTGCCAGACCTTTGCCCAAGTTGGGCATTCCTCTGGCGTGCTACCTGGGGGCAGAGGTGTCTGAATTATAGGCTCCGCACCTGGTTGCCGGAACTTCTGGCAGGTAGGGCACATGTTGACGTAGTCGTGGATCTGTTGACTGATGCCTGGCCACCAAACCGAGTCCCTCGCCCTGGCTCGACATCTCACGATGCCCTGGTGTCCACTGTGCAGGCGTTCGAGAATGTCTTGCCGCATTACAGGTGGAATAACCAGTCTGTTGTTTCTCATCAGGAGCCCTTGAACTGTGGTAAGTTTTGATGCCACGCTCCCGTACTTCCGTGCCTCTGGTGTCAAGTTTTTTTCGTACTATTTTCAATAGCGCATCTATGTCTTTTTCATACTATTTTCAATAGCGCATCAACTTTTAGGCAAACCTACTGCAAACCGCCCTCCTATATATCACCCAGAACGGATCACCAACTCAAGATTCAGCCGCCCAAATCACGCACACTATTATTTTCCTCATCGCCTCTTGTCATGTGCATTAGAGACTGGAACGATATGCCATACGAAGTGGTATCGGAGACTAACCTAGCAGCATATAAATTAAAGTGTGAACAGTACATTGGAATGAGCAGTTAGTAAGCGGTTTCTACCTTGATATTTGTTTGCCTTGCACGCTGTTGTATATTTTGTATTTTCATCTTGATCTTTTTTTGCGTTAAGTTTTGTTTACACTCATTCAATTATGTCGCGATATATGAAATTGCAATGTTATATCATGTATGTGTTCTTTTTCCTGCTCTTTTGTCTGCACGCTTTCCCCAGTGCATTTTTGTGCGTATTATTTTAAGATGTAAATAGTATATACGCGAAAATACTGTTTTGAAGTTCAAATTGTATATTATGAATTTCCCCCCTCATGTAATGCGCTCGCAAGTCGAGTGCCTTTGAGGTAATAAAATGAAATGAAATGAAAGTCTGTGAGCACCGGCCACTGGCTTTTGCAGTAGAGCATGATCCGTGCTGTGGTGACATCCTTACTCAATTCGGACCTGAGTGCAAGGAAGCGAATGACTCGGCAAATACGCAGCGCACAAGCCGGTGCGCTGTTGTTCTGTTTTCTTTCTCTTGCCGATCTTTTCCCTCTCCCTCTGCCCATAAAAAGATCTCCCAATTACGAATAAACGTTCTGTGGCTGGACCCATGCCTCTTCACTACACTGGCGACGAGGCCACCTGAGCCCGCTCTGCGTGCGAGCGGCAGCATGAACTACGCGGTGCCCTTCTCCAACGAAGTTACAGATAAGTGGACATCTTACTTGACTCGTCTGGAGGCGTTTTTTGAGGGAAATTTGGTGACAGAAGCCGCACAGAAACGGGCCTTACTCGTCTCGGCATTAAGCTCAAAGTCCATTGAAGTGCTTGAAGCATCATGCTCGCCTGAAACAGTCAACAAGCTCAGCTATTCTGAAGTGATACAACGACTGGGTACATACTACGCCCACAAGCAAAATGAAATCGCTGAAAGTTCTTCAACCGGAGCCAGGAACAGGGTGAAACAGTTCAAGATTTCATTGTGGCGATTCGCCGCTTAGCTGAGCACTGCAACTTCGGTGCCTCTTGTGACCGGCTGCTACGCGACCGCATCGTTTGCGGCATTGCTAACAAAGAAGTTCAGAAGTTTTTACTTGCCAAGCGGGATTTAACCTAAAGACCGCTGAAGATTTCGTCCTTGCGGCTGAAGCCGCCGCAGCGAATTCGGCAGCCATGAAGCCGTCTCCTCCTTCGGAGGCAAACGTCAACGCGGTCACGCCAGACCACGCTCGCCGAGGAGCCCGCCATCCCCGCAAAACGACACTCAAGCTGGCGTGCTCGCGCTGCGGAAGCGATTCTCACAACGCCGAGTCATGCAGTCTTCGGCACGCGACGTGCTATCGCTGCAGACGGATCGGGCACATTGCAAGGTGCTGTCGCGCTGGAGGGGCTCACACTACGGGTAAATACGGACCACGTAAGCACAAATCAGCCGCCACAAGTGCTATTGAAGGGGACAACAGCGGTTCGAGCGAAGAAGGAAGTTTGTTTACAGTGCAGTGCTCCCAAGCCAACTCTGATCATTCTGTCGGTTTGGTGGAACCCGTCATGCGGAAGTTCGTCTGGTCCGGGGTACCACTCATGATGGTGGTGGACACAGGGTCACCCGTCAGTGTAATACCGCAGGACGTGTACCTGAAGTTCAGGAGTTCGTGGCCGTTCTTGAGCTCTGTGTAGTCGACACAGATCCTCAGGCTGTCGTCTTTTTTCTTTGCAACCACCATAGGCGCACACCATTCCGTTCCGTGCTCAACCTGTTGGATCACTCCCAAATCCAGCATTCGCTGTATCTCCTGACGAACTTTTGGAAGGATTGGGATAGGCACACGTCGAGGATATGTGATCGCAAAGGGCTTGGCATCAGGGTGAAGTGCGATCTTGTACGTCGTCTTCATTGTTCCCAGACGATCCTCCAGAAGCGACTCGTATTCCTTCGGACAATGGCTGCTGTTGCTGACCTCATGCAGTGCCGGAAGCACGTTGAGGGCTTGAATCGCTGGACGTCCGAGTAACGCACAGTGTAGACCTTCAGCAACAAAGATTTTCTGCTGGGTTGTCTTGTTATTCCACTGGATTGTCGAGATGAACTGTCCAAGGGTGGGGAGGTGTGCTCTTCCTGTCGTGAGAAGCTTGTCATTGGCCACCGTCAGGGTACCCATGGCACGTTCATCGTATTCCGTGGCTGGAATCACCGTGACATCCGCACCGGTGTCGACCTTGAATGTCAGCGTCTTTTGTCCAATTCTGGCTCTTACCGTCCATGGTTGTCCGTTCGCTGAGTGTAGCACCTGTCCCACGAATAGCTCGTCCACTGCGGAGTTTCTTTGCCTCCCGTTGTTGCTTGGGCGTAGGTCTGTTGGACGTTCTCTGGCCATGCACACCGCTTGAAAATGGCCAGTTTTCTTGCATCCATTGCATTTCTTCCCCGTTGCTGGGCATTGCGCCTTGCTATGTCTCAGAGTGCCGCCACACCATCTGCAGGACCACGATGTTTCTGACGCTGTCTGTAGCTTTGAATGCTCGCGGTGCGGTGGACAATAACGGCCTCCTCGCTTATGAACTTCGTCGACGTCGGCACGCGCTGCCTCGTGACCACGCAGTTCGTGTTGTTGACGCTTAACTGTTTCAGAGTTCCGAGCTGCCGCAATCGCCCCTTGTAGAGTCAGTCTTGCGTCCAGTTGAAGCTTCTCACTCAGCTTCTTGTCTAGGAGCCCCACGACTAGCCGATCTCTGATCAGGTCTTCCCTGAGGCTTCCGTAGTCGCAGGTGTCTGCCATCCTGTGCAAGTCTGTTATGAATGCTTCCGCTGTCTCGTGCGTTTCTTGTTTCCTCATGTTAAACTTTGCCCGTTCAAATATGACGTTCGTATGAGGAATGAAGTGCGCTTCAAACTTGTCTTTCACCGTATCGTAGACGTTTAGTTCGTCCGCTGACAGCTTCAGTGAAAATAGAACGTCCTCGGCCTCTCGTCCCATCGCGTAGAGAAATGTGTTCACCGGGGTCGTTTGGTCTCGTAGATGGAGCCCGGAGATGATGCGATAGCGTTCCCATCGTGCGACCCACCTCCTCCAGTCGTTTGGGTCTCTGAAGTCGAGCTTCTCCGGAGTTTCGACGGCGAACGGGTTGAAGAACGAAACACCGCCCGCTTGTGCCGCGCCATTGAAGAACGAGGCCCCGTCTGTTTGTGCCGCGGCGTTTCCCGCTTGAGAAGGCCCCGA